TTTTAATCTGGCTCTCGGTGAAATATATCACTCTGTCTTACTGAACCTTCTTCCTTCAAAATAAGGCTCCATTTTTTTGCAGTTTTGGTTTATAGTAAGCTCTACACAGTCACCTAATGACAACATATTTTATTTTTGTTTGCTCTTTGCATGTCCTATAGTTACTGCTTCTTCTTATATTTCTCTTCAGGCAGAGGTGCTTACCTTATGGGGGCCTAATTCCAGAGCCATTGACTTTGTCAGCATATCCAAGGCACTCTTGGTTGCACCTTCAGGCAAACAGAAAAAAATAAGTGTATTAAATGCTCCCCTTTCTTCCTCTTCTTGTTTTTCCTTTACTTTCCTACAGTGATACTCACTATAGACTGTGTGATTTAACACAGCCCGTTGGGAAGCCTGGCTTGAAACATTGACAATAACTCCTGGTGCTCCTCTGGCAATCAATTTCTGGGCAAAAATCTATGACAACACAGAATTTATCAGACACTTATCATTTGCAATTTAATGATATCCAGGGCATCGGTGTATAAAGTATACAATTAGTATAAAGAGAGTTGTCAAAGCAGTGAGGTGGAGATTTATTTCTGAGCAAATGCACATAGGATTGGAACCAGAAATCCACCTTCCTTAAGACAATAATAATCTTCCATTTGTTAATGGAACGTTTTACTAACTGCTTCTACAGTTCTACATGGTCCTTCCAACATCATGCAGATTTCTCACCTGGGAGACCTGCAGCACAGCCCGAAGGTTGACACTGAAAGATCTATATAAAAGGAAAGTCAGATTAAATACACCAAGAAAAGCCAATTGCAACAAAGTGGGAAATTGCTAGAAGCCCAAAGTGCAGGGATTGCATACTAAACCTCAAGTCTTCCCCATCCCATCACCAGTCTTGGGGAAACAAAGGAATGATCAGGTTGCTAAAACAAACAAGTCTGCACTTTTTTCATCAAGGACAAGGAAAACAATTGTTCTGCAAACTGAACCAAATTAACATCTGAAGCTCGGTTTTTATTCAAGAAGAAAATTTTATTATATATACCCTTCAAAGTGGAATGGAAAGGATCTCTAAGGTTGAAAATTGGAACCTACAGCAGTGGTTTCTAAAACCAAATTCTCACATCTCCCTTTAGTTACCTGGTAATTGTGGGTCCTGTTTTATTTAAATTTTCAATTTTTTTACATCTTTTCTTTGGCCTGGATTATTTATTTGTTTGCTTACTTGATTTCTGCCACCTCGCCTTGATTACCTGTCAAAGGCCTCCTTAGAAACCTGTAGGAATGGCTGCAAAACTGCTACAGCAGCATTATTCACTAACAAATCAATATCTTCCACTGTGCTTAGTGCAGTCTCTGTAGCTTCCCAGTCTGCGAGGTCAACACACAATGTCTGGATGCCAGGGCACTGAGGATAGAAGCAACATTAAGGGACATGGGGATTGATGCTGATTATAAAGCAAGGGTGTTAGGGCTGCTAGTTTCAAGTGACTTTTCTTACAAAGTATACAAAATAAATTTTACCAGGACAGAATACTGATTTCAAACAAAGGTCCAAGGAGATGTAGTTCCTTCATTAAGCTTGAACTGCAAGGATATTTTCATACAACATTCCAGGTTTTTTTTGACAGTCAAAAATAATAATTTAGACATCTGCAATTCTAATTAGATTATCCTGCAATAATCACCTAAAAAAAAAAACATGCCCTTGAAACATGTTTTACACTATGTGAAGAATGTCCCAAGAATGGCAGATGAGTTCATTTGATACAAAGTACATTTTCCCTTTTCATCGCAATTCTGTGAGAAAATGATGAGAAATGCAGTAAATAGATTATTTTTAAATTGGTGCTGTTTTGGGGACAGAGATTGCAGGTGGCTTATCTGGTAGTGGTAGCTATTCAATGACACTCTTAACAAGCCAGGCACAAGATTTTAATCTATAAAACCCAGGCATTTCCAGATTAGGTCAAGTCATTTTATTCCCCTTCTATGCCAGACAAATGCAGAAAACAGGGTGGAAGTTAATTTACCCTCTTGCCTTTCAGTACAGCCTAAAGGCTAGAGCAGCTGGTGAAAAAATGGGAACACCCCTGAAGGTTTTTCTGTGACCTTGGTAGGAGTACTACAGATTTTGTCTTTAAAGTATTTCAAATGTTTGGCAAAAGGGCAAAGGGAAGGGAGCAATTTTAATGGAAGAATTCTTTATTTCTTCAGCAGCTAGTGGCACTGGATACCCTGAGGCATGATAAATATGTAGTGGAAAGTCAGGGTGGAATGTCTGCTTTTGCAATGGTCAAAATCACAAGCCATGCACTTGGCACATGGGTAGTGAAATGTAGTAGTATCTACTGACCATTCTATTGCAGATTTGCCTCAAATAGTTGAGATCTGTCATGTATAGGGACTCTTCTGGCGTGTATAGGAACATGCATCTGGCATATACAAGGACTTTTGAGGGTGGGCTAACAAAAATAGGATGCAATTGGAGTGTAGCTCCACTCACAGAAATGAACAAGCTTGAGGTAATAAGGGCCTTACAGAATGAAATTCAAGGTTTATCTAGACTCGTGATTCTCAAAGCATGGTTTACCGTACTCTTTCAGGGGATGGCGGAGTATTTTATAAATAAATATTTTTAACATTTCTCGGTTTTAATTTCTAACATACTACACATCAGTGATATAACCCACACACATTAAAGCTTTTTGGTGTCCTCAATCACTTTTTAAAAACCCAAGGCTAAAACCTTTGAGAACCGATCTAGTCCTATATGTAGAGACCCCAGTGGAAAAGCTGCCTCGTTTTGCTGTTTCCCAGAAGCCAAGCCGTCCTTCCTCTGAGCGAGAGGCAGCCACCCAGGCATAGCCCTCCTGGAAGAGAGGATGGCCAGAGGAAAAGCGAGGGTCGGGCCAGGCAGAAGCCAAAGGAGATCCACAACTGGGCGCAGAAGCTGAGCAGGCAGGAGTCACGCTGCCTCTACCTCTTCTTGCAGGGTCTCGAGATCTGTCTGGGTCCGGCTCACCGCCACCACCTGAGCCCCCGCTTGGCTCAGCCGTACAGCCGCAGCCCTGCCGATCCCTGCAAAGGGGAGCACAACGTTGTTGCACCGGCACTAACGCGGCGGGGCTCGTCCCCGAAGCGCCAGGGTTGCTCCAGCGGCGCGGCCCCCGGGAACGCTACCTTTGCCTGCACCCGTCACCAAAGCGCGGCGTCCAGAGAAGCGCTTCATCCTCCGCGGCGGCTGAACTTCCATTCGGCGCTGGAGGCAGCGCTGGAAGGGAAGAGGCGGCGCCCGAAGGGGCTTCCACAAGGGGGAAGGAGGTCCTCTTGTCTTCGCTGCTTTCGGCCCTCTCTTAAGCCCTCCCGGCTCCCGAGTGTCGCGTTTGTAGTCCCGCCTGAGGACGCGCCTCCCCTCTCCCCCCGTTTCGGGTCTATCGGGAGCGCCCGAGTCCGGTTTCTGGCATCCTTCGGGGCACCGGGGGTAAAACCGCATCCGGACAACCGCTCCTTTGTCCGAAGGGGAGGTTCCTGGTTCTTCGTGTCGCCATGTTTTTTTTTTCCTGGAGTTTTTGCGGTGTGGGTCCCTATGAGAAAAATGGAGACCTGCAAGGCGGCTTAAGAGTTTATGATACCAGCGCATTGCAGACTGATCAATATAATAGTTGGGGTAGGGAGATTGTGGAGAGAAAGAGAAATTGTAATACAATTTTTCATATAGTTCCGTTTTTATTATGCTGGTTGGAGAGGGGTTTCTGATAATCACGAAATGCCGAACAGTAAATGTTTTCCCCGCCTAGTCACGGCGTAAAAGAGACAGTATTTAATACCCGAGGCAATAAGCAGTAGAAATTCAACAATACAGAATGAACAATTGTATGTGACACTTCAGTTGATACTTCAGCAAAATAGCACTTTAGACTTATATATCACTTCATGGTGCTTTAAAGCCGCGGTCTCCAACCTTTTGTACTTTGGGGGCAGGGCGGGGAGGGTTCTGTGTGAATGGCAGGTGAACGTGCACAAATGTAGCTTCGCTTGCCTGCCATATCTGCGGCCCGTGTTCTGAATGGACTACGGCCTCGTAGTGGGCCACAGCCCAAGGGTTGTGTGTCCCTGTTTTACAGCATCACAGCGTCTCTTGAGTACAGTATCAGTATATTGCCCCCCAAAATCTGGGTCTTCATTTTATTGACCTTGACAGGTCAGGAATGAACTGCTGGCAGTCGGCAGAATTAGCCTGCAATACTTCTAACCACTGCGATCTAACATCAGGACCCTATTAATATTCCAATAATCATTATCTCCTTTTAATGATACTATAATCCCTTTCAGGGTGGAGTCTGGGCAAATGAAGAGAGCTGAGTATTTACTGACCAGATGCCCTTCCTGTCACCAATGTGGAGTAATATTCAGCAGATATATTCTCATCATGCCCAGAGAGAAATACCTGCCTCTACCTAGGATCAAACTCACAGCCTCCTGATTGTGGGATGAGAGCTCCACCAGTTGGCCACCACATCACTCTCATTAATATTCCAGTAATAATATATTATAATAATTTAATGATGTTAATAATAATTTAATAACTTCTTGTCACTTGTCAAAGCTGTATCCTGATTAATTCAATTCTTTGTAGCAGATGAATGTGCATTAAAATAAAGCTTCCATCTAAGTTAAGTTAGTTTTAAATATAACAATTTTGGTTTCAACTTTTACATTTTTCTGTGCCTCGACTTGATGGCAAATACTTGGCTTCTATTTTGGATTCTTCTGTCAAAATAAAATGTCCATCAGCTGTATCAGGAATGCCCAGCAGAGACAATAATGCATCCAACTATTCTCTCAAATGAGTTGTCAGGTGGTGCTCACAATCAGAACTGTTGTGGAGCTTACAGAACACCAGATAGATCAGACAATCCAGCACAGTATGGATTGGGTCATAAAAGCTTTTTGATGAATGCTGCTATATTTACAAGAAGGATTCTGTACAATAGTAGTGACTCAGAAATATCTTTTATTAAGTGACTAAGTTGATCATGGAACCAGTGGAAAACCCTCAAAAAACCCTTCATGATCTATCCTTTTACAAACACATTTGCTAAAAGATCCAATCTACTGGGTGTTGGATGTATCACACCAGGAAGTCTAGATGCAATATGTAAGATTCAGATGATGGCCCAGCCAACAGAAATATCTGTTTCAATATTTTGAAACAATTAGTGGTTAGAAAATATTGAAGACCAATCACTTGGGACTTGACTGCAACAGTGGAGAACTTATGAAAAGGGAAGAAGGAAAGCGAACTTGCCATGAAGGAAAGAGATTCTGGTACTGCATAGAGCAGAGAAGTTGCTAGGGATTGGCTTATCTCATATGCAACCTGTAAGAGATGACATTTCTAACATTTCTACTGTGGTTCCACAGGAATACAGTTGGTAAAGCAGAATTAACAAAAATACTTTGATTATACTACCTTCCCAAATAAGAATACTTGTTCTAATAAAAACAAAAAAGCTATGCTTTGCTCCAAACATTTCTATAAATGTCTTTTTATCAGCCATATTGCTACAGTGCCAGACTGCAGCTTTACATTGAAAGTGTATTCCTACAATGTGGGAAGGATTATGGCTCAGCAAGGATATATTTAAGACACCAAAATAAACATTGTGGATATTATTTATAATGTGCCCCTGTCCAAAGTTCTCTAGTATTATTTTGAAGAGTGGCTGGTTTATCTGGGACTTGCTTTGTCTTTCTTCTTCCTCCGGTATATAGCTCTGGCTATTCATTTAAAGTAAGCTGCGTAAGAGATTCACAGGAAAGGTGAGATGTCATTTCACTGTTACGGTAGGACACCACAGTGTTTCAGGGTAGAGGAGGCAGTGAACAGATTTGAACCTGCAAAGAATAAGGTAAGTTATAGTCTAATACTGTAAATATATTACTCGGCTATTTTCAGTTTTCATGCTAGAATGTCTTAATTGAAGAAGTAAGTTAGGGGATTTAAAACATAATGTACACACCGAGTTGGATCTTGTTGTATACTGAATACTTCACCCACACTGACAACATTGTGTTTATTCTCAGGGCCACCATAACTCAAGGTAACCTAGAAAAAAACACACATAACCCACATATTCAAAATTGCACTTGTTAGAAAGAATTAATTTTAAAACTTGGAACGCATTCAAGTCCTAAAATTGGGTTTTACAGTTAGTATAATTACTTAACAGGGATTGGAAATATATTACAGTCTTTCTAGGCCAATTGAAATATTTTAGTTGGGGAAGAGGAAATGAATAAAATCCCACAACTGCTGTTATCAGGTTAAACAATCCTTAAATTATTAGAGGGGGGGGGTTTGTCATTTTTATCTCCGTATCATAGCTACGGTATCTTTTTACATAAATCAAATATTTGCTTTTTAAAAAATCTTTGTATATTACTGGATGTGAAAATAAGGCCAACATAATCAGGAACAGTTTTTAAAATACAAGTAATCCTTGTTTAATGTACATTTGGTACTGGCAACTTGGTTATTAAGTGGCTAGTAAGTGAAATTGCTACCGTGCGTATGATTTTATTTCAGTTTTCCTTTCCAGGACAGACCTGTGAAAGCAATAAATGTGAGGATTGGTTGTAAAGTTATTTTTTCATCACTGCTGTAACTTGAACAGTTGCTAAATGAGGCAGTCACTAAGCAAGGACTACAAGGTATTCATAAAATTGACAAAACGTCCCTGGAATCCCAGAACTACAATGTTTATCTTAGTTTTATGTTACTTTAAATATTGCTACATGCTATTTACTTTTTCTCCCTTCCTGGATAACTGCTTTGTCATGTACTTTTTCACTATGTGTTTTCCAAACATAGTATTCAAATAAGTATACAAATTCGACACTGACATTTAACTTCTTTCCCAATTGTTTTGTCTTCAAAACCTAGCCTTCGCCTCAACAATAATTTAAGAGCAAGTCTTATTTTTTAAGTTTACTTTGAAAATGCCCATCATTTCTTCTCTTTGTTTTTCCCATCACCATGAGAGAAATTAACAAAAGGCTTTTGTATTTTGTTTGTACTACATCAGTACTGTCGCAGATGACCAACTTGCAGTAGTCTCAGTAAGAAACTCCCATGAAACAGAGCCTTTTAAGGAAGAAAGTGAGTGTGGGGGAAAAGCATCTGCTTAATTTAGAGGAGAGTTGTTACTTGTCTGAGTGCAGCTCTACCACGCAGCCGCTGTAGGTTTTCCAGATGAGAGTGGAATAAAGGGCTGTGCAACAGTTTCACTTCCAAGAGCCCCTCAATGATGTAGCCAATGGTGCAATCATCAGGGAGGCGAATTCTCTCTGCAGTGCTGATGAAGCTGCCAAGGCTGCCAAAAGCAAAAGTCAAGGAATGAATCTGTCCTTAGTTCTATTTTGGCCACAGGTGGGAGCAAGCCTTCCAACTGCACCTACCTAGCCCATGGGCTCATCTTGAGGGCCAGGCCTCTGCTGATGCAAAATCCAGCACCACCTGTGGCAAACCAGAATTTTGTAGTGGTCTAGCAAAATAAACAAGAGACAAGTTAGAACGGCTGACCATTTTGTGATCAATTGGGCATTATCAATTCTATTTGACCATTAGAAAGCCTCAGAAAATTGTTGGAGCTTCGGGAAACCAATCTTAAACCAAATTTGAATTTAAAGAAACACACCAGCTCTGGACTTTCTTTGCATATAACTAATTCTTCATATAGCTTCAATAAAATTGGTTCAATCAGACTTATGGAAGGAAACATGTATAGGATTGTAATCATAAGCTATAGAATATGTAATACGATATTCTATGGCTGCAGAACAAAATAATCACTACAATTAATTACAGATAGACAGCCAAGTGTAAGTAAAGGAATGAAAACACAACTGTATCTATACATTCAAAGTTGAATTTTGCAATTTGTTTTAAAATGTGAAAATCTGTACATTTCCTATTTCATATGAAGAAGCTTAGATCTTTTAATTTCTTTTCAAAAATAATCTTTCATGTGTTCTGTGTTCTGAAGTGTTGGAAATTTACAAATATATGTTGCCTATAAATTGCATAATTGCCTAATTTTTGCAAATAAAGCTTTCAGTTTTATTAGCCTGCTATGACTAGCAGTGAAGGATGGATAATTTAATCTAAGCCAAAATGACTGAACTGCCCTCCTCTAGTGATTTTTCTGGTGCTCCTGTTGGATATCATTCTTCTTCCATCGGTTTACTCATTTTGGCCTGCAATCCATACAGGTAATCCTCACCTAATAACCCTAAATTGGACAGGCAGCTATACTGCTAAGCGGGCCCTAAGTGGGAAATCACATGACTGTGATTTTGCTTTCTGGCTGGAGACAAGACTAATCAGTTTTTCAGTAGTCAATTCTGTACAACAAAGGAAGCAATGGTAATCTGAAATAATAGCATCTGCAAAAATCCACTTCAAGCCATGCCGCTAAGGGAAGTGTTGCCCACTCCCATGCTGGTGGGCTAGAAAAATAACAAAGTAGCGTGTGAATTCCAGATGAAAGTAAACATGCAACACTATAAAAATCTGCTTTTTTCAGTTCATGAAAACCAACAGTGAAAGAATCTGCTCACTGATCCATCATTCCGGAGATAGTCTGCTGCTTCAATTGGATGGTCCAGACTTGGTCTTCCTAAATATATATCTTGGCTGTGTGAAAAAGCAGATAAAAGACTCCGGAGACTCTTCAAATTCACATAGTTGTCATCGTCTACATGACAAAACCACCTGCAGAAAATTCAGACAAGAAAATTGCATTGGAGGTCATAACAAAAATATAACAAAGCTCTCTTTGAAGAAGACCTAATTTTTCAGATCTATGCATTGTTGACAATACAAATGACATAATTAAAATGCAAGGGAATGAGAGAACAAATGGAGAACATCCTTTTAACTACATAAAATTAGATCAAACACAACATTCTCCTATTTTATCTGCTGATCAAAAGAACAGGAGGCACTGATGAAGCCAAAAGAGCAATGAAAATAACTATGAAACAAGTGATTTCCACTTACTTTTGCCCAGACTCTAGAAATTTATCATATTCCACTGACATCTTGCAGCAGAGAGCTTGGCGGGTGTGAACAGCTGAGCAATTGGTATTAATCATATGATCCCCTATAAAATAAAATTGATTGCAAAGGAACAAGCTATGTAGTTTCTGAAAGCAAATATAATCATATTCATATATGAAGAAAAGCCCCAAATGTTACATCGCATCCATTGTTCTATGCCACTCAGAGTTGCCTTTGGTGAGATTGGCAGCTATGTAAATTTGATTCATGAATTAATAAGCATCCAGTGCTAGCTGTGAAGGATCTAGACTGTGGATCAAACAATGTCATGCTATAAGAATATGAAATGGAAGAAGTAAATGGGCAAGCATGATAGTTTTACATAATGCTTCTGAAGTTTTCACCAGGAATGTAAGAAAATTATTGTATCATTTAATAGTGCTATAGTACTTTTTGCAATTCCATGTTCCACAACCATAAAGCTGCAACATATATTACATTGATCTCTGCAAGCACTACTTATCATTACTGTTTCTGGAATATTAACAGTCTGAAGGAATTTAAAGATATAAGCATCAATGCAAAATTATCAATGGAGGCAAATAAGGAAGCATTTCAAAAAGAAAATAATCCTTTTTTACCCAGAAATGGAAATAACTCTATATAACATCATAAACAGCAAGTGCACTCTGGACAGCATTTATCCCTTGTTTCTCAGAACAGGAACTGATTCCAGTACTCCTCAAGACAATGACTGAGCTGGGGATCTTCTTTTTGCAAAGCAGATTATACAATTATAGAACAACAGAGTTGGAAGGGTCTTCTAGTCCAACCCTTTGCTTAGGCAGGAAACCCTATTAAGAACCACGGTGGCGCAATGGTTAGAATGCAGTATTGCAGCCTACTTCTGCTGACTGCTGGCTGCCAGCAATTTGGCAGTTCNAATAAATAAATAAATAAATAAATAAATAAATAAATAAATAAATAAATAAAAATGAATGAATGAATGAATGAATGAATGTCTAAGTGCTATTGCTATTGCTATATCACTTCAGACAAATGGTTATCCAATCTCTTCAGTGTTGGAGCATTCACAACTTCTGGAGGCAAGTTGCTCTACTGATTAATTTTTCTGTCAGGAAATGCCTCCTTAGTTCTAGGTTCCTTTTCTCCCTGATTAGTTTCCACTCATTGCTTCTTGTCCTACCTTCAGGTGCTTTGGAGAATAGCTTGACTCCCTCTTCTTTGTGGCAGTCCCTGAGATATTGAACTATATAATCCCTTCTCTAAAAAGATAAGTGACTGGTAAGAGTGATTCATATCTTATTTTAAATATAAACCTGGGAAGTGAGTAATAATTTACCTGCTCTAAGATGCAGCTCATGATCTTCCCCGTCTGTGAATACAAACGTCTATAAAAGATACACATCAAGAATTATTGATCTGAAGATTTCAGAGTAATGTTATTGTTCATTTCAGTCAGAATATTATATTGGTTCCTCACAGCCTCAAGCCAAAAAAGGAATCTTCCTCCCCCCTTATTACGTGTTTCAGGAATGTTAAGCACATTATCTGATAGGCCAGTGGCCCCCAATCCTTTGGGTGCCAGGGACCGGTTCCACAGAAAGAGGCTTTTCCGCAGACCACAGGGGGCGGAGTTTCATGTGCTGCCTGTATCCCACACATGTGCGGGTGGGGGCTTTGCTGGTTTGCACAGCCAGTTTCTGATGTGCCGCAGCCGGTCCACAGGCTGAGGGTTGGGGAACCCTGCGATAGGCAGAAGGGAAACCAAATATATGGTGTAATATGGTACAAGAAGCAGTCGTGTTATTCTTATTTTTAACTCAGCAAAATCCCAACCAACCAAAGGTCAAGGCTTTCATATCTAGTTTGGTTTAGTGGTTAAGGCACCAGACAAGAAACAAGGAGATGTCAATCTAATCCTGTCTTAGGGATGAAAGCCAGCTGGGTGACTTTGAGCCAGTTACACTGTTTCAGCCCAATTCATCCCACAGGGTTATTTAGGAAGAAAGAGAATTAGGAATGTTCATTGCCTTGAGTCATTTGTAAAAATAATAAAGATGGGTAAAAATAAAAAATATTCTCAATTGAACCATTGTATAACTACCATAAATAGCCAATTATGATTTACCTTCATGCAGAAAAACATGTCAGAATCAGCATGCATGCATAACTGATCTGATGCATGGTGAATCTGCAGAGTTGCTTCATTAGGAACAAGGGACAGGGCTAGCTTGAATAGCTCAATTTCTTCAATGTATTATTTACTTGTGCCAAGAATTCCCTGTAACGGAGCACTTCTAGAACTCTAATGTCATTGGGGAAAGGGGGATATAAGTAGGTAAAATTATCATTTTTACTTTAATTGAATGATTTAACTTCAACTATTGTGCTATCATAAGAAAAGAAAATAAGCAAATCATTTTTTTCCAACACTGTGATGGTAAAAAGACATTATGTTTAACCTTTTAAAAATGCTTTAACTTGCATCTTTATACATAAACTGTTAATAATAAATATCACTAACAAAATAACATACGGTAACTATTAAATAGTGTTCTTACCTGACCTTTGGCCTGAGATATCCATGTTTGGAAGAGCAAGTTTAGCCTTGTTTTATGATATTTCCTTGTGGTTTTCACAGCAATAAAAATATCTTTCAAATCCAACTTTTCCTTAGCAGAGACCTCAGCAGATTCCATATGTATCACATTGTGTGGCCTTTCATTTATCCTTCCATTAGCTTTCAGATGGAATCCACCAGTGTCTGTGACATAATGATTCCATTTTTCTAGTAGGTTTTCTTTTGTTAAGGGCACTATATTGTCGATCTCAGCATCCAAAGGATTGGGGGAATTGAACTCCACTTGCTGAAGTGGGGTATCATTCTTGTTGAAAGTATTAAAAACAAGAGATGGATGCAGCTGAGGATAGATCTTAAATCTCCAACTGGATTGGAATTTGGGAATTAGCAAGAGGAGAACTGTGCAAGTGATAATGGAGAGCAGGAAGCCTATCTTACTGAGCCTAATGCAAGAGAAGCTCATTCTTCAGCCCCTAAGGGCATTTGCCATCTTGTAAAACTGGGATATCACTTCCCAGTGAGGATGAAGCCTTTGAAATGAAGCCCAATTGTGTAAAAATTATTGAAGCTGTGGGACTTTTATAGCCATACAGTATCATCTTTGTATCATTCAATCATTAAGGGTTGATTTCTTTGTATACTGCGGCCTGGATTTGTCATCCTAAAACACAGAATTTGTAACCTGTTACATGAGAGACAAAAAGAAAGAAAGAAACTTGAATGTTTTAAGTAACCTTGAGATAAGAACCAAAGGGCCTTAAAACTATCAGAGATTGTTACTGTGGATTAACAAGTGAATATATGAAACTGCTTTATGCAGAATCATAACTGATCTCCCTGTTCTAGTATTATTGTGACTGACAGCAGTTCCCAGGTCTTTCCAATTATCTGCTTTTGTTTTGGTTAGAACTTTAATGTGTAGGATACTGTTGAAACTCTATTACAACAGAAAAACTGGATATTATGCAAAAAACTGAATGCATTTTAGAGCTTTATGTGCATTATTAATGAAAATGACCTTAAATAACATTTAGGAAACATGCTGAAAGAAAGGGAAATATAATTGAAAAAGAATCTTGTTATGCCTGTGAGTTTCTGTTACTTGTTCTATTGATTTAAACCTACTTAAAAAGGGGTCTACAATATCTAATTATTATATATAATCTATATATACAATCTACAGTAGGGATGTCAAACTCATGTGATCATGTCACGTGACATATCATGACTTTCCCCCCTTCACTAAAACAGTGGGTGTAGCCAGCCTGTGACGGATCTGGCCCGTGGCTTGACATCCCTGATCTACTGTATGTTTAGTAGACACTCCCTCCCGCAAAATAAGGAGATAAACTTAATTGAATTTTTTGGATCATTAGGCTTATTTTGGGGGAAATAAGTGAAACCAAATTAATAATTGAAGTTACATGGTTTATTCAAGAGAAGAAAAAAGACAGAAATTTTCTCTCTAGAAACATGTGTTGTGAATGATATACTGTTAGACCACATACCATTAGTGGGTGTTGTTGATTTAAGCAATGGAGAATATATTTTCCTAACACCTAATTTTTCTTCTTGATGCGCTCCCTTTTCTTATTCACACGGTTTCTCTTTTTCCCATCCGGCAGACTTCCAGAAAAACGAGATCAACCTTGCATAATCTCTTAATTAAGTGTTTGCAAACCGCTTTTGAAATAAGCCCCAAAAGTGCATGAAATTAAGGCAAGAACCACATTGGCCACCGCCCCTGCTTTATATTATAGGGGTTGTGAAATACATTGTAAAATTGCAGTCCATTCTGCACAGAATCCAACACTGGAAGTTTTTAAGAAGAGCTTGAACAACCATTTGTCTGAAATGGTAGAGGGTTTCCTGCCTGAGCAGGGGGTCGGACTAGAAGACCTCCAAGGTTCTGTTATTCTATTCTAAAGGAGGGTAGTGATATTGCTACAGGTTGCTATAATCCTGAGTAAGAATTTATTCTTAAGTAAATTTAGATAGGATTGGCGTCTCAAAATCATTTTTAAGTCAGCTGTCATTTCAAGCAGATTAAAGCGGACACATTTAGAAAGAAATCCTCGGGATCGTCCGAGCTTCTGTGCGGGACTTCTCTGGGGACCAGGCAACCCAAAGCGGTTGCCTCGACTCCTCACCATGGCAACAGGCACGCACGCACGCACACATACCTTGACTCCCCCTCCTCTCCTTCCTCCCCCTCCCGCGCCCCGTGAGAACGCTATGGGAATTCCACCCCTCCCGCTGCCCGCCAGAGCGAGGGTTTCTGGGCTCTTACCGGCAGGGCCGGCTCCGCTCCCGCTGGCGGCGGAAGAAGCCGGGCCGGGCGCTGGACTCTCGTGGTGCTCGTCTACCCAGGCTACGAGCCCTCGTCGAGCCGAATCAAGCGGACACCGGGAGGGGAGGGTCGGGGGGGGCGGGGAAGAGGGCAGTCAGGGAAGAGAACAGGGGCTACGGTCCCTTTAAGGGCTTTACCTGTCGCGGGTTGACCCGGTTGCGTAAGTGACCCGGACGTGGAAGTGGGAGGGGAGGACGTGACCCGGAGGTACATGGTGCCAGGGTCAATATGCCGCTACCCGTCCAAGTCTTCAATTTGCAGGTATTGAGGAAGTTTCGAGGGGGTCGCCTCGGGAGGGGGACGGGGGGAGGCCTGGCCGCAGGGCGTGTCTTACGGCGGCTCAAGGCGCAATTCAGGCGGCGGCGGGAAGGAGGCTGCCGAGCGGCTCCTTCGGTGGGATCAGCCCATGTGTTATTTTGGGAANATTGCTGGGGGCAATAGGCTGACTCTGTAAACTGCTTAGAGAGGGCTGTAAAGCATTGTGAAGCAGCATATACCGCTCAGGTTCCTTGAGGAAAAACGGCCAAAAGATATGGAGCCGAGGTTTCGAGGACTGAATTGGGGGTGATAATAAGGCAAGAACAACATAAGGGGGATCCGGAGAAGCAGCTAATGGAAGAAAACATCGCTTCTGAAAGAGCTGCTCTCAGAAAACACTGCTGATCCTGCCGCCATCCCACCAGCTCCGGCCACCACGACTGCCGTTTTGCCTGCTCCGGGCGTCGGCCTGGCCCTGCCGTTTCGGGGGGGGGGGACGCCGGCTCACTGCTGTTCCACCTGTTCCAGCTGCTGTTCCATCTGCTCTGGCCGCTGCGGCCTGACCCTGCTGCTTGGGGGGGCCGCCGACCCTACAGCCATCCCGCCTGTTCCGGCCGCCGCGACTGCCATTTCATCTGCTCCGGCCGCCGACCTGGCCCTGCTGTTTCGGAGGGGCCGCCGACCCTGCCCCTGTCCCACCCGCCCCAGCCGCCGTGACTGCCATTCCATCTACTCCGGCCACCGCGGCCAGGCCCTGCCGCTTCGGGGGAGCCGCTGTGTTGTGCTGCTGTGCCTGCCCTGTTGTCCGTGGAGCCATGGAGCTGGTGAGTCTGTGTCAGTTTGACTTGGGACTGAGCGGCTGGCCTGTTTTGCCGCCGCCATTGCCATCCTGGACGCAGCTCCCCCTCCCTCCCTGTTCTTCTTTCACCGCGGCTTTTGGACATCATTACCGCTGGGCGTCTTGATCGGTGTGGGCCCTTTTCTGCCGTCGCCCCGGCTACTGCGGCCTCGGCTCTTTGGGCCTTACGTCCTAAAGCATGCCAGGCCAGGAGGAACTGCTACTGTGCTGGCTGCTCTGCACATTGTTCTGCGACATATGGCCCCACAGAGAGAGAGGACAGGGACGAGGAGAATGGGGAACCTGCTTTTCCCAACTAGTGCCAATTTTCCCAGTCCCCTCAGACTTTTGCACCATTTTCAGACTACGCGGGGGAAAGAACGAGGAACCCCTCCCCCCCAAATTATTACCGGCCGCAGCCGCCTCAAACTGCGCTGACCGCCTGTTCTGCGGTCTCAAGAATGGCGTTTTTAACTAGTGTGCTGAGTGTATGATTGTACAATTGTGAGAGTGAATGCGCCCACTTTTAATTTAATTAATTTAATTACTTTTATTACTGTATTGTATTTTTAATGACTACTGTGGGGTGTGTCTGAGCAGAATGTTTGTTGAGTGAACATGATAGGACTGGGGGTGTGACCTGGAGCCCCCTCCACTGAGTGCAGAAGCAGAAGTGGATGGGGGCCCGGATCCACCTCTCGCCCTAGAGTGAATGGTTTGTGTGGCCTGCCGGGAAGAATGGGGGCCATGGGAGTGGGG